TATATAAAAATTATAAAGAATATAGAGTTTATGATGTTTTTAGAGTTTATAAAGATTATAAGAATTATGAAAATTATAAAAATTATGAAAATTATGAAAATTATGAAACTTATGAAAATTATGGAAATTATAGGAATTTCAAATCATAATAATGTATATATTTAAAATAAATATAATATAATAATAAATATAATAAATATTATAAATATAATATTAATAAATTTTAGATAAATAAGATAAATATAATAATTATAGAATTTATAAAATGTTGTAAATATTTTATTAAAGCATTAAAAAATTGTGAAATTATAAAATTATGGAATTATGAAATTTCATTTGTAACAATTATAACAGTTATCTAAATTATTTTTGAAAAAAATGATAGTTTAGCAAGCAATACAGTTTTGCTATATTATTTATATTAATAAATACTTGAAAATTTTTAGTTTGTAGAATCCAAATAATTTTGGAAAACAATTTCAATTCAAAATAATTTCAGATTTAATTTCAGAAAGCTAATTTCAGCAAGTTATTTAATTAAATAATGATATTTTAAAGATCATCCTTATGTGAGTTGCTATACAAAATGACAATTTTTATAGTAAATTTGAACAATTTTGTGTTAATAATAAATCATTGATATACAATTTATACAATTTCATCAAGACTTAATCTACTTTATAATTATTCACCAACAGCAAATAGAGGATCTTTTTAATAAATTGGATCTAAAAACTCACCCCAACATTTTACTATCAATTAAGTAGTCTAAACTTTGCTTGTTCTCGGATAAAATTGATAAAGAAAATTTATCGAAAGGATTAAAAGAAAACTCTATTTCAAGAAATACACTTACCACAATTTGGACCTGATACCATCTCAAAACGGTTTAATAATTTGATATGTTCATAATTAAAATATTTTTAATTATATTAAATGATTTGTCATTAATGTTAATGTTAATGCATAAATAAAATCAAGGATCGATATTATTACGTATACAGAAATTTTTGATAATAGATTTTTATATGATACCGATACCACATATAATTTTGATTTACATAATATATCAAGCAACCCAACATTTCATAGATTGTGTATAAAGAAAACCTCATGCATACACCCTCAAGTGCGTGTTCTATTTGTAAATAACCCGCCCGTAGAAACACTCATAATGAAACAGAAGTCAGTACTGAGGTGAAATTTGTCACAATTGAGTGGAACCTTGTCCTTAACCGGCACCTTAGAAAAGGGACTTGCATTGGAGAGCGTTCAATATTAAGACATGCCAAATGCGAAAGCCAAAAACTATCCCTCACCATCATTGAACCATCAACCTCATCATCTAAACGCGCTAGGAAAGAACCTATCTCCGCAAAAAAATCCTCTAGCAAAAAGATTATATTAAAAGCTGAAGTGAAAATAGGGAATCTCGCCTATCCAAGTTATCTACGGAATCACTGAATACAGAAGTTAGTGTGGAAGACTTGGGTAAAAATTCTGGCAGTTTTTTGAATCTGTATAATCGAATCATCAAAGCTGAAGAACATAATAAACTTTAAATCAAGAAGTTTGGTTGAGAGGAAGTTTCAGATGCTGATTTATGATGACAGTCAATCAAATATTGAGTTTTTTGAGGAGTTAAATCTCCATTTCAAACTTTTTCATTATAGTATGAGAAAGGATTATGCTAGCTTCCACATAAAATACCGTTATAGTTCCTGATAAACATGTAACTAATATTGGCGCATAGTATTCCTATAATTATGAAGAATGTTATCAACGCTATGCGAGAAAGTTCAATATTCCCTCTTTTAGTGTTATCCCTATCATAATAATTTGAATTAAAAATAGCAAGCCATTGAGAACAATTAAAAAATTTTCGATTTGTCTTCGTCACCCTTATAAATGGTTACACTAAAAACCGTGAATAGAATAAGGATGCTAAAGTAGATTATAGTGTAGAGTATATTTTGTTCCAAGTCCTAGCGTAAAAAAAAACGACGAAAGAGTTAATGAAATTTTTAATGATAAATATGTCACTTATCTTCAACATACCGATTTGTGGCGATCTCTCCTCCGTATCTAGGAGTTGAGTTGTTATTGATGAAGGAGTTATTATTTGTTGATGAGGTTCAAAAGCTTCTCAAGCACTTCCTTAAATACTTTGGTCAAGAAAATACGTAACTGACCTTAATCACTTTCTATGTATCGGTATGGTGCTGGAAGTCTATACTCGACAATCACATGAGATCTTTAAAACGCATCAACTTTTTGTAGAAATGATATTTTAGTAACTTTGTTCTTTGTAACGAGCTCTATAAAGTTACCGGTCAGTTTTTTGAGTATAGACTTCCAGCACCATAGCACATTGATTTTTTGCGTCATTTCATTTACGTAATGGACAAATTGCTGATCATGTTTTCCTCGTCGTTATGGTATGAAGGGATGGTTCTTGCAGAATTCGCTAAGGAAATTAAAGCAAAAAAATTGAAAGCGTTCTCATCTACCAAAGCTTGAGAGGTATTACTAAACTTCGGCCTCGATAGTGATGGTATAGAAACCATCCCATTACTCATTCTACCAAAAAAGACGACGACAAGCGTTTAGAAAATTGCATAGCCGAGATTTTGGTCCGCCTCAAAAATTACGGGTCTTTGCTCGTTCGACTGTTTAGAAAGTATGCGGAATGAATATGTTGACTCAACCCTCATACAAAAAGAATTCAGTATGAGGCCACAGTATGCAATTTTGGGAGAAAAAAGTAATGGCCGAGTCCATTACGTAATCAAGATATAGACACTTTATATCTGCGGAGCAATTTTTTCGTATTCTTGCAGACAAATGCTGAGTAATTAATCACATAGGAAACCGAGGATTTGATTTGCATCACTGAGGATAAACAGCACAAAGTCCCCATGGGCTATGCCCAGAATATCGCTCAACTCGAAGTTTCTTCGAGACGAACAAAAAAAAACGAAAGCTGACGACGCATTCCCTGACAACGATTTCGACTATCTCTATGAAATTGTCACGACTGGGAGGGATTGGCACTTTTTGCTATATTCCCCAGGCAGAATTTCTCAAAGTAACAAACACCATACACAATTGAATTCACAGAGGAATATCACGCCTTATGTAAGAACGTGAAAAAGGTATTAGGTGCTATTATAGTTTTGTTAAAGGGAAGAGCATGCGTAGAAAAATCCCTGCCACCAAAAGAGGGAGGGTTGAAGAACACGCTCTAAAAAATGATAGTCACAAGCTGTGCCCGATGACACAGAGCATCGAGTCTTCGACTCTTCTGTGATCTATTTTCTTCATTAATAAAGCAAATGAATTTTTCACGCGTAGCGCGCGGAATTGCAAATCGTGACTTGTGTAATTGAATAATTCTACATTTATCATGTATCATGCATTCACGTATTGCCAACGAGACCCTCCTAATATTCCGACTATCAATCTTAGTTGCACGTTGAGCTTTGGTCAAGCATGGAAATTCTCGGAAAGTACCATCAGCGAAAATCTGTTTGACTGCATGTTAATTGGCCCGAAGCCTGAGACGCATTGCATGTTGAGAGTTTTCTGTCTGAGTACACCATTCGAGATTAGACGCGTTGTTGTTGGTGGAATCCCCGTCAATATGGTTCACAAATTCTTTGCCTTCTTCGTTCGGACAAAAAGCTAATGCTGCTAAACGATGGACCCGATATTTGTGAACTCGGCCAATTCGGTAATATCCAGCGTATAATGATCCTTGGGTAATCAAGCCGTGAATATTTTTGGAGGGTGGCGTTTGGTGTATTACGAAGATTACATAGAACAAGATTCTGATGAAGAATGGAGAGGAATAGAGATTAATTCACAAAAATTCACAGTCTCATCCTTAGGAAGGATTCAGCTTTCCGCTACATGACAAAATATGAGCTCCTGAAATCTTAAGAGTATTTGAGGCAAGCACAATAGAATCCCAAATCCGAATAACATTGTTGTCCAATGTTTTCTGCACGATTCGCCTAGAAGTGCCACGACCATAATTTGGGAAAACCTTACGTTCGACGTCCTCTTTAGGGATTACCCATTCCAAATTAACCGCCCGATTATCATGTTTGATGCCGTTAATGTGGTTAACGTAATTTTTATTTCTGGGTTAGCAATGAAGGTTTGTGCAACTAAAATGTGAACTCTGGTATGTTTACGTACACCATTGATCTTAAACTCTAGTATATAACCACTTCTTTTGCAAGCACCTCGCCTTAAAGCGTGGATATCTTATGCTGTCCCGAACTATAATAAAAAATGAGCTGAGGCAAGCTAATCTGTTAGTGGGAAACTCTCTCTTCCTTCCCCCCCCCCCGACGCACAAGCATAAATGTTATAAACTTCACCGAGCCATGCTTCATGTCCAAAAGAATATTCGCTGATTGCCATCGCAAGCTTTGCCAAATGTTTGTCAGAATTATCGCTGTCCGAGTTCCGGATACAAGGGTGGAAAGCATCGAATTACAAAAGTCTCATGTCTGATACACTGATTTTGATAGATCTATAAGTATCCTAAATTTAGGTTCTGTTTTTGATCTCCAACTCTGACCTAATTATAACAATAACCTTAAAATCAATCTTTGAGGTTAAAATAGAATCTTTGGATGACAATCTGTAGTACAAATAATTAGGGACGTATTTCATGATATAAGGAGAGTGACAACTATTATCTAATATCCATTTGATTATAGAGATCCGCCCTGAAATTTCACTTAACACATGGATGTGAAATTATATTACCGTAGAGCACTGCCTATAGTACCATCCCCTGTAAAAACTTTGCCATTTAATTCAATTTTTAAATAAAACAATTATTTTTCCTGCAAAAATAAATAAACCAAGAGTCCCAGTGTAACTCTTCAAAAACTCTTATCATTAAATTATAGGCAGTGCTCTACGGTAACACCTGAGATTTGGCCATCTCCTAGAATATTAGCTAATATTTGTCACACCCCTAACACTAGGGTACTTGTATCAAAAATGGAACTTCCAGTGTAACTTTTACCATTGATTCACTCCAAGATCAACACACTTCCGATTTTACCAGCATCTTCTGGTGAACATCTATGTGTCGGTGATTATATGCTGTGGCCACATCAATCAAAATCTGGGTGGATCCAAGATCTTCCACCACTCGAACTGCTAAACTGGGATTGATAAACTTGTTATAATTTGAGAAACTGATCTTTGTAAAAGTTTGAAAATTATATGTATATATATCATTATATTGAACTTTTTGATCATACGATCTCATTTCTAGCTAAGTCTGACTCTATTCTTTTGTGTACCATATTGTAAAATAGCCTGGCTCACGTTGATGTTGGGGTTTACTTCCTGGCAGTGTTATAGCTAATTCCACATTCGATCTTTATAAAGTATTTTTTAATATATATATCTATTATATTCTCTATTAGCTTTGATTGGTTAAATCAATTATTAGATCATAAATCACATGAAATCTTATTGGTCACATTATAATATCAAAATTATAGTTGTGGCGCGGTATTAGATGAGAGATTATACCGATACGTCATGTTTTTTCGTCCCACCGAAAAAAACGCCATTATTACATAAAAAGACAATATACGTAGATTTACCTTTTACCCCCAAACTATGTGCACACGTTTCAGTAAATAAGCTTTTTATGCACACAAAATTAATATACGTGTGTACGTAATTACACTGCTACATGTTTTTCCAAAGTTGGATAGATATAGAAAGAGAAAAAGGACACATTTTTTAAACGATAACGACCACAATTTACAACACCAATCGAGTATATAATGATTTTCTCAGCTCTACGAAAACGACGAAATAATAATGTTTATCCCATTTATATAATAATTAGTTTGGCAATACTTGCCTTCATAACGACCGCCGAATCAAATAATATAGTAAAAAAAGACTCTCAAAAATTCATTAATTCCTTAATAACACCGAGAGCCTTATATCTTCCACGCGTAAAGCGGAGTCCACTGGAAACTAAGCCGGAAGAGTGTCCTCCGTGTTTTGATTGTCATTTATCAACTTTTGAGTGCTCGCATTTCGCGAATTGTAGTGACTTTGACGGAAAGTGCCAGTGTCCTCCTGGATTTGGTGGGGAAGACTGTTCGAAACCTCGTAAGTTTACACTTTTTTTAGTAAAGTGTGATATTCGGAGAGTGATCAATATGTTTTTTTATTTGCATGTGAAAAGTATGTAATTCTTTGGCTGATGGACCTAAACGTCTGCCACGAGGAATTAACCAAACTTGCGAATGTTCTGAAGGATGGACAGGAATAAATTGTAATGGTGAGTAATTTAAGTATGTGTATATATAGTTCAGAGATTTTGGCGAATACTCAATTTTTGCTATTACATACTCAGTTTGTCAGACCGATTTGGCATGTGATCCGCTTGTTCCGACAGGAGCGAACGGTACTTGCTATAAGGGCGGGTTAACAGTAAACGAAAATTTTCAGATGTGTGATGTCACAAGTGAGTGTTGTTTTTTTGTAATCCTGTTCTTTTTTGAAATAAAATTCATATAATAATATTACGGATCATATATAACAATAACAGATAGGAAAATTCTTGATATGCTTCCTGATCAACCACCTCAAGTTACTTTCTCGTGTAATCGTCCCGAGGAAACCTGTGATTTTCAATGTAAAATTTCGATTTTTTGCATATATATTTTCTTTAATAAAAAATATAAATTAGAAAATCTTTTTTGTGACGTTTAACAGTCTGGATAAATGGAACCGAGTCCTTTTACTGTCATCTGGACGAGTGTGCATTCAGTCTCGACGTGACTTATGATAAAAATATCACCGCGTATAATTGCAAGAATATCAAGTGCAAGTGTAGAGAAGGTGAAATGTTGTGTGGAAAAGATGGAAGCATTGGTAGCGTATTCATTTTTTTTTTTGGTTTAGTGATAAGATTTTTTATTTGAAACCCGATTTTATAAGTGGTCATCCTATTTATTTCTATTTTTTTGTTCGGTTATGATAGATCTTTCTGATTGGCTTGTAGCGGAAATTAAAGGACCTGGCGATTTCAAGTGTTACAATTCAGCGGATTGTCGATTTTCTGGCAAGTTAATCAATTCAACCAGAAACCACTCTATTTTAATATATTTATTTTACAAGCATATTGATTAACGTTTTTACGCGTCTTAATATGTATGTGCGTCAATAATATACTCTAGAACCGGCAATGAATGAATTAATTCAAGCAATATTCGGAGACCGCTTTATCTCTCTGGATTGCGGCAGTGGCGAGTGTCTTCATTATACTCAAGTTCCGGGATTTGTCGTGAGTGACTATTTTATTGTCATAACTATATTTTAAATAATTAATAGTATTTTATTAATTTTTTTGCAATAATTAATACAGAGACCACCTAAACCCGAAAACACAAAAATGATAGTTGCATCTATTATTGCAGTTTTTGTATTTGTTCTGGGCGTATTTGCAGGCATGCTTCAAATTTATTAATCACCTTTCCAAATCACGTTATTCAACGTTATACAAAAAATAATTTCTTTGTTATCGGAAATAAAAAAAAGGAGTCTTCCATCTATCCCATAACTGGAAATCATCCGATACCTACGGGCTCTTACAACTTCCTGAAGACGAGTCCTCAAAACTCATGGCTGACCACGTTCCCGCGACACTACTTTTCCAAGACATCAGTTACTACGTCGGCGAGAAGCAAGTCCTGAATTCAATACACGGGATCGTGCATCCCGGTGAAATCATGGCAATAATGGGTGCTTCGGGCGCCGGAAAAACCAGTTTTTTGGATATTTTGGCCAAAAGGAATAAAGCTGGGCTTGTGAGTGGCGAGATTTATGTGAATGGACGTGTGATTGATAACCAGGTGTATAAGAGTGTTGTTGGGTGAGTTACATTTTAGATGTAATAACTATTTGCTATCTGATTTTTACGACAAAAGTATTGAATCTTTATTTTTTTTAGATATGTGGATCAGGAAGATCATTTGTTGCCTACTTTGACTGTATATGAAACTATTTTGTATTCTGCTTTATTAAGATTGCCGCGGGAAATGTCGTTGGAAGCTAAAAAGTTCAGGGTACTCGAGACAATGAGCGAACTTGGTATTCTAGAAATCAAAGATTCCAAAATTGGTGAAACTGGTATTTATCGTTTACTATCATTGAAAAATAATCTATTGTGCCATCCAAAAAACCCCAATTAAAAACTTGCTTTTTACCAAAAAAAAAAAAAAAAAAAAAAAAGGCGCACGATCAATATCCGGTGGCGAGAAACGTCGTGTCTCAATCGCTTGCGAATTGGTCACCTCGCCATCCATCCTATTCCTCGACGAACCAACATCAGGTCTTGACGCGTACAACGCCTACAACGTCGTCGAGTGCCTCGTTACACTGGCAAGAAACTACAATCGCACGGTCGTGTGTACAATCCATCAGCCGCGAAGTAATATTTTTGCGTTGTTTGACCAGTTGTTGTTGCTCGCCGCAGGACATATGGTTTATTCGGGGGAGACAAGCAAGTGTCAAGAGTATTTCGAGAATATTGGGCATAAGTGTCCGCTGGGCTTCAATATTGCTGATTATTTAGGTTTGCTGAATTTTCATTGATTGTAAAGACCACTTTTCTCTATAACTCTCTTACTAATTCATTTTACAAATTAGTGGATTTGACAATGTATGCCGTAAAACCACGTGAAGAAGAAGATATCATAGATGACTTGCCCGAAGGAAATTCCACTGCCATATCCCCATCCTCAACTAATCCTGAATCCACTCCAGTTTCACGTTTCGTCACCAACCATCGACCACCACTTCATAATCGAACATCTATTCATGATATACAAGATCTTCAACTTTACGCTCCACAACCACCCTCGAATCAACAGGAACAGGAAAACACACCGTTACTGGAGTTAGATGAGCGTCGTCAAGGAAGCACAGATGATATTGGTCTAGATGTTGAGACTGAGGGTATGAGTGAACATTTAAGAATGTTGGTTGAGAGATACCGACGAAGTTTGGTTGCTTTACAAGTGAAAGATGAAATAGATCGTACTGTAAATAGGTTTGTATTAATTATCAAGTATTTACTCACTTGACAATTTATTATTGGTATATCATTGAAGTTTCGATAATAATAATAATAATAATAATAATAACATTAATATTAATAACAACAACAGTGACGAGCATGATCCAGTCTTTACTTCTGAAGAAAATGCATCAATAAGCTCACATCAACGTGCATCCTGGCTTACACAATTTCGAATTCTCTCGGATCGTACATTTAAAAATCTATACAGAAATCCAATGCTAATGTTAACACATTATTGCATCAGTGTATATCTAGCAAGTAAGATCTATTGTTCACTAGCGAAACTATGTTTTTTCAAAGTTTATTCATCTTTCGCTGTTGTTCACATTTTTTAGTACTGTGTGGTGCATTATATTATAAAGTAACGAACGATATAGCAGGTTTCCAAAACCGAATGGGCGTGTTATTCTTTATGTGCGCTCTTTTCGGATTTGGATGCCTAAGCTCTATCCATATATTTGCTTCCGAGCGAATATTATTTGTAAAAGAACGAGCTAATGGATATTACGCGCCAATAACATATTTCGCATCAAAGGTCTCTTATTCAATATGTGCTATTGTTTTGATTCTTTATTTCACAAGGCTAAAAAAAATATTATTACGATTTCTAGGTTATATTTGATATAATACCTTTACGTGTTGTTCCGCCGATTCTGATGGGTGTTATCATTTATCACATGGTTGGCCTGGTGAATGGCACAAGCGAATTCCTTAAATTCATACTGGTCTTGGTGTTATTCAATCTTACGGCCGCTAGCATATGTCTGTGTATCGGAATACTATTTAAAGAAGTTGGCGTTGCTAGTCTGCTCAGCAGTTTGATTATGCTGTTTAGCATGTTGTTTGGTGGATTGTTTTTGAATAAAGGTTTGTCTTTCTTGATTTTTGTTCGGCTGTTTGTGAATTTTGACTTACGTTGTTTTATACATACGAATATAAAGAATCTATACCTGAATATCTGGCATGGTTGAAACACTTCTCATTCTTTAATTATGCTTTTGAGGCGTTAATCGTCAACGAAGTTGTGTATTTGCAACTCACAGAACAGAAATTTGGGCTTTCGATTGATGTTTGTATTTCGCGAATTTTTTTTGATTTATATTTCAAGATTTAAAATAAATTGACATATTCAAAATAATATAGGTTCCTGGTGCAACGATATTAACGACTTTTGGATTCGACGCGTCTGCTTATTGGACAGACGTACTAAAACTCTCCACGTTATTTGTATCAGCTCTTGTACTCTCGTTTATATGTCTACAATTCTTTGTTAAAGAAAAACGCTGAGAAAGATTCATCTTTTTTTCATTATTCTATTATCATCATATTGTTTTTAATGTATGAAATTTTGACCAAATTGGATTTACTGTAATTATCCAATAACAATAATACCTATATTATTGTATGTAAAGAAATTCGTCATCATTAAGAACTGATTATAATAAAACTGTAATATTAATAATAAGCTAATATACAACACTTGACTGATAAATTAATCTGTAAAATAATACATAGAATGTCTAATTAAAAAAAAAAAACGGGTCAGACTGTTTTGCCATTGATGTAATAATGGTGGCCATTGTAAGTATAACATTTGCCATTGTCATCGTTAGAGACATTACGAGAGGATTCCTAAGATCAAAAGAAGCAAATTATACAGAAAATATTAAATTTTAATACTATTATTAATAAGATGAATCGTCTTACATTTTCAGTACTGTTACTATTGTTGCTGTTACTATTGTTGCTGTTAGCAATTATGTTCTCGTTATTTAAGTCGTCATCATCATCATCGTCATCATCTTCTAATCCTTCACCACGAAACACCGCCACATTGTGATCTGTCTCGTGGACCTTAACTTTGTACAGGAATACATGGCGCGGCAGAATCTTTTTTAGGTTTCGCCATATAAACACTGCTAGGTTTTCAGTTGTACTGTTTTTGATGGATATCAAATATAGATTAAATTTTGTGAATAAGAGTTAAGATGAACCTGTAGTGGTCAATACATTTCTATCAAATGAATAATTGATCAGAAGTAGGATTTTCTGACTTCACAACGTATCAGAAAGAACGCAGCATATTATCTAATTCATCATATTCACTCTTATGTAAATATGAAGAAAAAAAAGGGTAATAACAATGACTTATGTATTCGCTCTTCTTACCTTGGTCTTTTTTTAAAATATGGAACATCAAGGTCCTATGTATTTTTTGTGAATTGCATATGTATAAAATCATCACATCATTTATTAGTTTGTTATTCGTGATTCATCTCGAGTACCCGAAAAGAATTAAATACTAGATATTAAGTAGATAGTTACCAAATGCTTGTGATCTAGCACATCCATTATGGATACTTTCATGTACCTTTTCAAATCTACTAAATTTAAAACCATCCCGGTTCCTTTATCTATCTAAAAGACTTATCATTGAGGTTCCGACCAAGAATAAATGCGAAATGCTTAATATTTTGATCGTTAGACTTTACCTCGCCTTTTATTACAACTTCGACTAAAAAAACCAAAATAACTGAATATACAATATGCAAAAACAAATTAAACGCATATACAATAAAAGCCTCAAGGCTACCTCTATAATTATGTCCATGTCCGTGAGCACTATTACATTTCCCATAAACCTTACTATTTTCTTCGACACTCAAATACGGCGAATGTAGACGATGTGCAGCCGAGAAAGTTTCTATTCTGCTTATGTATGTAGTTGGTGACATTTATATTAAGTAAGTATGGTGAATTCGGATGTATTTTCGCCAAACTTTAGGTTTATTACCATAGGATTTGTATCCAAAATATGCTACGGCTGATTTTTAATCTGTTATGGTTATGGTTATGGTTATTGTACCCCCCTCCTTGATTTAACAATCATTGTAAATATGTACATGTAGCCAGTGTGTCACGGGACAGCTTTAGACATGCCTTTGGACAATATTGGACATTTTTGACAAAAAAAAATCAAATTTACTCAAAATTTTATTAAAATAACCTGTTTGGACACTCTAAATAAAAATGTTTAGAATTTCTCGTTGTATATAATCATATAATTTTTATTTGATTTTTTTTTAATAATACAAGAGTTTGGACACTTGGACATTTGGACAGTCGAAAAAGTGCTTGGACATCCAAAATACATGTAGATGTAAATTAATTTCTGAATCATAGCATAAGGTTTTACCATTTGTTTTACCATCATCTCGCTATAAGAAGTTTTAAATATATATATTTATCATTATTATTATTATGATTAGGGATGATGCAGATAATATTATTGTACTCGACATACATAAAAAAATAAAATAATTTCAGAAATAATGCATTATGTTTCTAAACTACATGTAATAATATGGTGCAGGAACTCTTAAATCGACAATATGTTTCAATTTAAAATGCTACTGCTCAACATAGAGGCAAAAATTTCAAAATCTGCCCTGTTCTTTATAATAAGTTCTACAAAGTTACCGGGCAGATTTTGAAAATTTTGTCTCTATGTTGAGTAGTAGCATTTTAAAATTGAAACATATTGTCGATTTAAGAGTTCCTGCACCATAGCAACTTTCTGATGCATGTTTCTTGTTAAAACACAATGAAACATTATTTATGTCGAGCACTGTAATCAATATATCCATTATGTTCTTGAGAAAAAAGTTATTATTTTTTGTCATAGTTCTTATTTTGGCGAAATATTTTTTTAAGATCAGGTTTCAATTTCAGCGAATGATTACGAACCATTTTATTAATCTGAGAAGAAACTGCAAATAGAACTCGATGACGAGAAAAAAGCATTCCTACAACAAATGCAATTTACACCAGTCGAATTTTTGCTTCAAAATTAACTTCAATTCCGAATGAGACAGGTACTTTTGATTTCTATATAAATATTGACATACGTAAATGGTAAAATTGTTATTTAATGTGTACAGTCAAAACTGCTTATAAATATAACGAAGTTTGAAGTTAATAATTCGTTATAAAAAGTATAGTAAATCTTGTTTCTAAAATTTTTACTAATATCCAGTTTTGACTGTACATTATTTTTTTCAGAAAATACAATATCAGCAAATTTATATATTAAAAATTCAGCTGAATTTGATAAGGATATGGTAATAAATTTGATAAGGATATGGTAATAATTACAGTACTATTTTTTTCATTAATTCACTTGTTTTTTTCTTCAGTATTGCAAAACAGACTTCGATTTAGTATAACATACGAAATCAAAGAGAATGAGCGTTTTACAACAAGATAAAACATTATTAGAACATTCTAAAAACATTGAGATAATGACCCTGAAGGTAATCATTGAATCGATGTTTATTATTTTAATTCAAGGCTTTTATTGTAACTCTTTTATTTAGAGTATACAGGTCAGGCGCAATAATGTCATTTTCGTTAATTTCTTCACTATGTATAGTTTATTTCAATTTGTTGTTTACTTACTACGTACAGTCAAAACTCGATATAAAGATGACAACCCAAAAAACATTTTTAATAAAATTTCCTCGATATAACGATATTTACAGAATTTTTCACCAATTATCCCCGACCTATCAACTATAGATACTGTTAATATCCGTTATATTATTGCCTAACGTTAGAGTTTATAAACGAGGGAAATGAATAATTTCTACAGTGCAAGCAAGATGCTTTTTTTATATTCTAATACAATCAAGCTTTTAGGTTCAGACTGTTTTTAAGTACGCCACGTATCTTCAAAATTATGGAATAGATACCAGAATACGTTATTATGGAATAACTAAAAACCCAGTTACAATTGAATACTCAATTGTAATAAAGTATCCTCGTAAATATACTAATGCCAAATACAAAGAATTGAGTTGAACCTATCTGAGAAAAATTCACAAAAAGAGCTTTGTACATCGTGACTTACCGGCCCAACTAATTCAAACACATGTACATGTCAATCTAATCGAAAAATTACGGAGTACTTCCTTATATTAGTCCAGAGGTGCTAAATGGGAGGTCACACAATACATTTATATTATTGGACTATGTACGAAAGTGTAACAGGTGAAAGACCATTTGGTGAGCGAGGTCATGATCAATAAAGGAGATACCAAATACTATTATTGGATGGTGCAAATCTAATTGAAAAATGTTGGGATCCTATTCCGAAAACAGACCAACTGCTTCGGAACTTATAGGATTTATCGGCTCTGTCCAAGGATATAATACAGAACTAAATACTTTGCATTCTCAGTACTAGGATATCCTAAAACACACGAAGAAATATGAGTGCGTTAAACTATAAAGGTAGAAACTCGGTAGACTTGAGGAGAAGGTAAAAATATAAATTTATATATTAAAATACTTGTTTGCACTACTGTATGTTCAAAATGAAGGTAAACTTTATTATCTATGTCACGTATTACGTAGTTGATTATAATTTCGCTTATATTTATTTATTTTATTCTATAATGTCACGAGCGTTTGATATTGATATTGAGAATGGAAAGAAAAAATACATAGTCGAAAGTTCAAATTTAATTTCAAAAAATTAACCAAAATACAACATAAGTTAATTTTTAAAAATGAAAGTCTCAAGTTTTAAAATATCATATACTTTTTGGTTTAAAGAAGTCGTGTCGGAAGAATCAAATAAACGAGGAAAGATTTCGTTATTGAATCAATAGTGGTAATATTTTATGATTAATCAATCGGTAAAATCTTATTTTTATTTTATATTTTAGCGTAATTATTCACAATTATCTTTGAGCAATTATATTTTTTTTTTAATTTTAACATATATTTCTAAAGAATTGAAATTGATATTGAATTTAAGATTGAGGTTTATATTTGTTTTTTCCTTGTTTCATTTTTTTCTCAATTTTTATACTATTTATTGATAATTAACGACGATAGACTGCAAATACATAGAAAAGATAATAACGGGATGTTTTTACTGCAAATTCTTTGAATGCGAGTTCGAAAAGTCGAAATAAAAAATATATAAATATATCTTGTATCTTTCTTTAGGTAGCATAAAGGTTTTGGTAATTGGATATCTTACAAAGGTGATTTTGAGTCAATTATTGACTGAAATGAAGAAACGATCTAGAAAGTGCAAATTCGCGTTAACGAGATAAGTGAACAATTTCTAAAGTGTAAGCAAGTTGCTTTTTTTTTTTGTTTTCTAATAGTGCAATGATGATTATGGAATAACTAATAACTCCGATAATGACAAATTCTTTTTACATTTGACGTAAAAATGGAAAGAAGAGGGTAAAGGGAATAGAGAGTTTTAGTTTCAGATTTTCTGATAATCTTTCGCTTTCTTTCCCTTTACTATTTCTGGACCGAGGCATCAAAAAATCAACCAATATTATTCAGTACTGTATTTTTCCATAGGATTCATGACTGTACAGTACAGTTCAGTACAATCTAATATACTAGTTTCTCGTTCTTCGAAATTACAGCGACAAAAAAATATTTGGCCCTTGTTTAGTGAATCTTCGAGCTAGGAAGATTAATGTTTCAGTTGAGACTTCTGAATAAAAAGGTTGGCAACTATTATGCCGGTTTCTATCCAAAACATACTTACAGTTGCCGAAAGAATATAAGTTCTTAATAATACGGTCATCAGTAACCCCACAATTACCGGAGCCAAAAACCAAATATTATTGTATAACAACTTGAGTTCCAAATATGATACAATTCAGCATTATGAAACAAATCTTTGTTACGTTTTCATTATCTTTAATGGTGTTCGATTAGCATAATTAATTGCAGCAACGATGAGCAGGCAGGCTACAGTGTAGAGAAAATTGATTGAAAGGTCTTAATTTGAGAAGGAAAATGATTGAAGGATCCTAGTTTTAACGAGGTGAGAACAAACGACGAAAGTTTTAGTGAAAAATCTTCAATGGCAAATAGATATGTCTTTTAAGTAAACATACCGATTTTTTACGCTCTTCCTTTCGTGTTTCTAGAATCACTTGTAAAAAAATGACTTTGCGCTGTCTGGGATGGTGTTATATATCTTCTGCGGTTCCGGCAAAATGAAGATGCTTAAATTAGACCTCCCCCCTAGTAGTTGATCACACATGCTATGGTGCATAAAATCTAAAGTCATCAAACGTTTGTATTTTACAAAATGTATAAACTTCTTTACTAAGAAGTAAATACAAAATTTAATCCGTGAATATGCTCAGAAAAAGCCTATTCTATCATATTCACGGATTAAATTTTGTATTTACTTCTTAGTAAAGAAGTTTATACATTTTGTAAAATACAAACGTTTGATGACTTTAGATTTTATGCACCATATATAATGTGATCATTTCGTCCAATTAGCGATGGGATTTACCCGTGTCCAATCAGAACATGGGGGAAATTATACGAACATCCATATATTCTTACTAAATTGGTTAAATTACAATAAATAATAATTCTTTTAAAAATATATAATTTTATTAAAAATGTGTATTACTTTTAATTGTTATTATATATACAATAACAATCAAAAGAAACACAATAGCACCAAAATTCACTAATAAAATATAATAGAATGCAAGATTTTATCTTTATATATAAAAGTTAAAAGTTTTCAATTTTACTAATCAATTTTTTTATTCTATATCGAAATAAAAAATAACAATTCATATTTTAATATTGAAACAAATTTTGACGTAAAATAAAAAACATTTAAATAAAGAAAAAATATACATTTTATTAATAAATTATAATATTGTTATATTTTTTTGGTTATTATATTTTTCCAGATTCTTTGTATTTAATCCAAAGAAAATTTTCTAATTGCAAAATATGTGCGAAATTTTTTAGTATATTTAATCAATAAAAAATTTCGCACATACTTTGCAATTAGAAAATTTTCTTTGGATTAAATACAAAAAATCTGGAAAAAATATATATTAAAATATAAATATGATTTTTATTTTTAAAATATTTGAAGAAAATAAAATTTTTAATTTACTATATTTTAATAGTAAATTTTGAAAGTAATGTATTACTTTATAAACTATTATATTATATAAACAATTTGTATTTGTTTAGTATATATACTTTAAATATCAAAAATTTTTTACAGTTATTTAATTTAAAAAAATAAAAAATAAAATTTCAAAAATTTTATGACTTTGAATTTAATATAAAAAAATTTTTATAGTATTTCTTACAAAACTACTTTTAAAATATATTAATATAAATTAAAAAACATCTACAAAATTTTGTTATATAGTAAAATCTTTAAGTATATCTTTTTTAGAATTATATAAAAAACAAATAAAGTATATACTTAAAGAAAATATATATTTATAAAAATAAAAATATATATATGTCTTATAACTTGAAACTAAGTCATATTATATATTTAAAAGAGAATTTGTATAGTATATACATTTATAGAAAATAAATTTAGAAAGATTTTACTATATAATTTTAATAATCTATTTGTTAAAATAATTAAATATTAAAGTTGAATTATATTAAAATTTTATTAATAAATTTATCAAATCAAAAAAACTTGGCATTTTAATATCAAACAAAATTGATTTTGGCAAGTAATTTTAAAATACAATACTAATTTAAAAAGTTTTTCAATTACAAATAAATTTCTTAATCAAATTTAATTTAAACTCAATACAAGAAAAACTTAGGTTGCAATGTTTTACAATTTAAATTGATTTGTACAGTAATTGAATTTTTTTATCTTTAATGTTTTAAATTTTACCTTTTTATATCATTATTTGCTAAATGCTTTTTTAATTGAATTTTTCTATAATAATATAATACAATCTTTCTTTTCGTGACATAAAAAATTGTTTTCAATTAAATAATGTGAATTATTTAAATTTGAAAATATTTTTCAGCCATGAACTCTTTAATTGATACCTTTTGACCTACTTTTTTTCAATAGTAATTTTATTAAATATTTAAGTCTATTATCCAAAAATAATTGTAATGAAAAGCAAAACAATTCCTATAAATATATTAATAATTTGTCATTAAGCTTTAATTTTTTCTAGTAATACTATAATATAATTTGGATATTCACACTCAATTACTGATCAAACTTTTTTCTGTATGTTCTTCTATATCAGTAGACTCCCACGGATACACTATCCATCTATCAGGAACTTCTTTTGCAGCCCAATACCTTCCACCATTAACGATCGATTCATCTGGGATTTCCATTCGTTTCTCTTTAATCTTATTATGCAATACGAACACAGCTAATCGAGTTGCAGGCACGTCCTTTCCTGGATATTCGAGAATAAATTTTTTTTTCAGTTCGTCAATGTCTTTGGTCAGTTCTTGAATTGCGTATGCCAATGTTGTACGTGTATCATCCACTTCATCCACAATCAGAATATTTTTTCCTAATAGCGTTGTGACAACTGGCGGACCAAATTGTAACCATTGGGTTTTTATTACTTGATTCCCCAATTTGGCGAGTGCAGAGTCATTTTTTGCTTGTTCGCTTTCGGTTGAAACGAACAATTCCTCGTATAACGAGAGTCCTATAGCTTGGATAGGAATGTTTTTGTTGTTTTGGCGTTTTAGAAAGGTACGCTAATTGTTAAAAGGGATAAATATTAAGTTGAGTAAAGAACATACATCTTATCACGTAAAATTATAAGATCGGGAAGATAGTGAAATTATGTAATTACAATACAACTGTTATATTATAATTCTACCATATCCAAATCTCAATAAGAAATTATATAACATTTTCTTTATAATCATGCTTTTTTTCAAAAGCAACTATGGTTCCAAATGTGTAATTATAAAGAATTGACTGTATATATAACCATCAAACATTTTTTATAGCATATTCGATTAAATGTTAGAAATCGTCCCATCGATATCAAGAAACTGACATACCAGAATTCTAGCCGGTATAAAGCCACCACCACCTATTGCAATCATTAAGTCAGGTTTGAATTCTTCATTAATACGATAACGTTCAACAGTATCTTTTATCTATTGCAAATTAATGATAGAAAACGTAAAAAAAACATTAAAGCATTAAAACACATTGCATGATTTTTTTGTGATGAATTAATTAGCGTAAAATACCCGCCATTTGATGCACTTGGTTATAAGAAACGTAGACTTTTGAGTCGTTAGACATTTTTTTACTATATATGTTTCGCTAGATTATTCTCAATGAAAAGAGCATAAACGCGTACTAGACAACCTTTATCGTAATGAAGCATAGGTTTAATAGATTAAAAATGATAATGTTCCGCTTAAACCTAGTCTCGGTATGGTTGCGCTAAAGCTTGAATATCTTGCTTATTTTGTTTGTCTCGAGTTTTAAGAAAAGATCGTTCAATAACATGTATACATTTTCCGGTCATCTCCTACCATTTATCAGTAATCCTCGGCAAAACGCGAGATACTTTTCAACTCTATTAAAAAAGTTGCCCGAATTTTCTGTGGATTATCTAGTTATTGGCGGCGGAGTAGTAGGACTCGCTATTGCTAATAGATTATCTTGTCGAAACCATCGCAAAACTTTGCTTGTTGAGAAAAACGCGTCGTTTGGCGCAGAGACTAGGCAATTAATTTCTCTCTATTTTATAGCAAAATCGAGATTTCAATTTAATTTTTAATATCCATATGATAGTTCTCGAAATAGTGAAATTATTCACGCTGGGATATATTACTCGGGTGATTCTTTAAAAACGCGTCTTTGCATACGTGGAAAAGAACTACTTTATTCTCTCTTGTCATCATCATCCTCACATATTCCATATCGACGTGTCGGCAAATGGATAGTATCCGAAGACGAATCTCAAACAGAATATTTACATACTTTGAAAAAGAATGCTGATTTGTTAGGCGTGGAGACATATTTTCTGGCAAAGCACGAACAAGAAAGACAGGAACCAGATGTTAGAGCGGATGAAGTTTTAGTCTCTCCAACTACTGGTATTTTTGATTCTCATGCGTATATGAGATGGTTGGAAACTAAGATTAGAGAACAGGATGGGGATTTGGCATTGCATTCTCAAGTCGTTGGGATCGAAAAAGACTATAATGAATATAAAGTAGAGATTGCGACTTCTACTGATCAAATTTCGTCGCCATTGACCACTTCTATAATTATTTCTGCAAGAATAGTTATCAATGCGGCAGGATTACACGCGGATAAGATAGCAGAAATGATACTGCCTACACCTTCAATTTACAAAATATATTATGTTAAAGGCCATTATTATGGTTATCGTGGTCGTGATATTAATGTCAATCGTTTAATTTATCCCGTACCACCAAAAAATCTCGTGAATCTTGGAACGCATTTAACTTTAGATCTTGCTGGAAAAATTAGATTTGGTCCTGATGTGCAATATGTTGATAGTCCTTATGATTATGACATTGTTGATGAAGATGATTCCAAAGAGAATAAGTCACCTAGCGTTAAAGAACAATTATATCGAAGTATAAATTCTTATCTGCCGAAAATCAGAGAAGATGCGTTATATGCAGATTATACAGGAATCCGGTATATTTTTGTAATATATATATTATTATTATTATGCATATTGTGTGTAGAGTTCAATGAAATAATCCATTTAATTATGCGCAGACCAAAGCTGCAAGCTCCCGGAGAATCTTTTCGAGATTTTATTATTCAAGAGGAAACCAAGTATGGATTAGAAGGTTTCATCAATTTGATTGGAATTGAAAGTCCTGGGCTCACTTCATCATTGGCAATTGGTGAAATGGTAGCAGATGAAATTCTAGCTGATAGATAGAAAACTTTTGTGCATTCTGTTTGTGCAATAAAATTCATTAGGAAAATGGTATGCGTATCCTATTCGAGATCATTATTTCTCAGACATTAATAATTATTAGAGTTTTGGAATTTCCAATATATAAATTCTTTGATATCGCCTCAGCACAGAAGTGGGAAACGTCAAAGTTGAATTATTATGTTGTTGTTTTGTTGAAAGAAGAAAATAATTAGTAAATCTATTTTGGTTCGTTATTATTATGTTATACTTGACATACCTTGGTATTTCCCTGACTCACTTTACTGGTTCTCTTTGAATCTTTAGTATGCTTGACGTGAATTAGTGAATTTTATTTTGAGGATTCTGAATTTGCCATTTTCGAAACGAAATTCGAGAAATTAAAATCGTAAAGTCACGTGTATATTATCATATATCTTCCCAAGATATACGATAAGAAAAAGGTGTAATTCATTCAGAGTACGTAACGGTAACTATTTTCTCAAAAATTCTTTGAACAGCATCAAATAGAATTATAGGGAAGGCTAGTAAAAAATGTCGAAAGATAAAACTAACAAGAATATACATGTTGCAGCACTTGAAGGCCGGCTTGCGGTCATTAAAGACATTTTCGAGGCTGAAAAGAAGACGATACATTCTAGAGACGATGTAGGATAGTGACCTTTGTCTCATTCCAGTGACTCGTAAATTTTGGAAGTTCTTTATGAACCATTTTTAATGTGCACATTATTTTAATATTTCTATCTAGGATTCACGTACTCCTTTACATTGGGGTGGTAGGTTGAAAGATAATCTAATAAAAACCAAGTTCCTTTAAAGAAGCATCTAATTAATCATTCAAAAAATAATAAAAGCATCTGGTGGTCACTTGGATATAATTGAGTACCTGATAGAGCAAGGTGCAGACGTGAATGTGGTTGATGACGCCGATTGGACTCCATTACATATTGCAGGTATTCAATTAATAAACAAGCTTGAAAATGTTATTACTATAATAATTGCTATAACAATTACTATAATAATGATTAAAATTAAAATTAAAATTAAATTATAGCATCAACTGGACACTTGGATATAGTGGCAAAATTATTAGAGGCCGGCGCAAATGTTGATGAACAGAATGAGATGGGGATGACCGCTTTGTAAGTGACATGATTGTGGAAATAAAATATTTTGAATTCTGCTCATGGAAATTGATTTATTGTGTGTATGATGTTTGTTTTTTTTTTCAATTAGACATTATGCAGCATCAAAAAATAAAGTTGAGGTAATAATTAATTAAAATTATAAGTCAAATTTTTATTCGTTCTGTCGATTTTATATTTATATTTTTGTTTTTTATTTAGATTGGAAAATTATTATTAAAGCGTAAAGCTCCAGTTAGCATCAGAGATAAAAATAGTCAGACTCCACTGTATGTATTTAATCAAATATCCACCAGCTCTCTTATTACTCACTTTATTCTAATGTTTTTATCTATTTATTATTTATTTATTTGGGCAGTCATCGTTCCGCGGTACTGGGTTATACAGTGTTTACTCGTATTTTACTAGAACATCAAGCGAACCCCAATCTTGCGGATAAAATCGACAATACACCTTTGTAAATTTAGATTATTCTTTTCTTTTTTAATATTTAGCTAGCTTGTATGATAATATTGTGAAAAATAATTTTAATCATTATTTCATGCATATAATATTTTATTTCAGACATTTAGCATGCGAAGAAGGCCACGGTGACACAGCCATGCTACTCATAGAATACGGTGGCGATCTAGAACGAAAGAACAAAGAAGATAAAACCCCACTGGATCTATGTAGCAGAAAATTGAAAGCGTTTATTGTTAATCAGACGCGTGGATAAATACTAATTTGGTTTTGATAATGATATATAAGTATGAAATACCTGTTCGAGATGAGCCGAGATAATTTTCATCAAGAAATGAAGTCATACATAAAAAATGCAACGATTTTTATTTGTAATCATTTTACTCACTCTAAACTGTTGCTAGTATCACTATTTCTAAATATAAGGATGATTATTATTATTTACTATTCAAGATGATGACATATAATCTAGCCAAAAGATATAAAAAACAGCCAAGAATCCCGCCTAAATTGCAAACGATGTTACTTTTCGAATATTGTATGTATGTAAACTTGGAGGAAAGTAAAGACTACTTGTCTAGGATTATGAGATGATAATGGAAATGATAAATATTACACAATAGCAGCAGTATTATGATATTCATATATATATATAAAATATATGTATGTATATTATAATGGGAGATTTTTGGAAGTAAGACGTTGATTGTCTGCCCACGAAGTTATCTCACAAAGTATTATTTATCATAGTAAGGCTACCACCTTTAATGAACAATAATTCAATTAGATAAGATAAATAAAAACAGAAAAATGAAAATGATATTTTGATATCTTACCAACTTGCTCGACCATCACATCAATTGCGTCACCATCTTCCATGTCAAGCTGAATAATATTGAACAGTGGTGTATTATATTCTCAAATATTTGTATGTTATTAATCCGTAAGCGAAAAAACACTTACCTCATGCGGGGTTTGACTGGGTTGTATACGTTCGCCGTCGTATAGGAAACGTAGTTGATTTATATTTTTACCCTGGCGTTCGCAGTAAGCTTCCATCAGTTTTTTCAGTTGCGTGCTTCGCTTGATTTTGAAAAATACTTCATTGTGATCCTTTGATGTGTAATCAAAAATGAGACAATGTTATTAATTCATACGCGTATATCATATAAATTTCATAGTATCGTCAAATGTATCATTGTAAAAATTGAAAGATAAAATCAGCGGTAATAGCGACTCTCCGAAGGGACTATTGATTGATTATGAGCCAAAAGAGGATTGATATTATGAATTCAAAAAAAAATGACATACGCTCCCAACGACTTTCAAATTAATATGTTCGCCTGAGTCACTTTTCTTTTCTTCGGTTCCTTGGGTTGTAGATGGGGCGGTTGGTGTCTGCTGTTGGTCTGAGGCCATGGTTTTGAATAGTTTAGATCCTTGTTAATTTCCCAAGAAAAAGGTCTCTGATTTTTGTTATTTAAAATAATTCCAATTTTTATTTATTTCTAAACAATCTTTTAGGTTAGTGATAGATTTGATGATAACCGATAACGATAACAAAAATATTAAATTTTGCTCTGCAGCTAAATTTTTTTGTCATTTGTTGAACTTGCCATTATTTGCTTTGAGAGATATGCAGATATGGGTTCCAGCAAGGACATTTCATTTAGAAAGCTATTTTCCATATACGCGACTATTTGCATGGTTTTTAATGTGTTTGTTGCGCTAAATACCAAGATGCTCGCCACGGCTGAACCATATGACCAAGTGTTGCTGCAAGCGAGTGCCGCGCGGACCACAAACCAGTCTCTGCTATGGGGAACTTACAGGCCAAACCTATATTTTGGAGTGCGGCCACGTCTGCCCGAATCACTCATGACTGGTCTAATGTGGTTTGGCGTAGATGACCTTGAAGGGTGGCAATGTATCCTTACTCTCGATATTACATATCGATTCGAATGAAATTTGACAAGAGCTATTCTATATATTCGGACTCCTTGACCTAAAATATATATATAGATATTCGTCACGCTTGTGATCAGGGAGATAGACTAGACGAATACAGCTATAAAAAACATAATGGTCGTACTTTGGCAGTGCAGACTCTTAAAGATTCCACGAATAATGTGACTTTGAGAACTGAGTTTTTAAAGGTGCCGGGAGGCGAACATGGTAAATTAATTGATTTTTATGCGTTTAATCTCGTCAATCATCAAATATTTATTTGACAAAGTTTTGGAAAAAAGGTGGAAATTGGGGGGTACGGATATCGGGAGTTCCGAACAATGAAGGTTAGTCACGTTGTTTGTCTCGAATTTGAGTTTTAAGCGCGGAGGTAAACAAAATGTCGTGGTTTAGCATTACTATGAGTCGGATTGATACGAGTCCATGACAGGTAGTAAAACAACCTCGATGTGTTTTTTCATTTATTTATTGAATTTTGAATTTCTAGAAGGAATATCGCGAATCTCGCTGCTATATTATTTCGGCTTACACGGAGAAGGATCATTAGAGTTGAAGAACAAATTAGAACCAGACGTAGATATTTGTATAGAAAAATTAATTCACGATTGTCTCGTAGTACACACGATGTCTATCTAATATCTCTTTGAAAATTTAGGGTTTGAGTGATCCTATAATATTAAAAGGCGAATCTCCCGAACTTGGAAGTTTTTCAATTGAGATGGAAAATGGTACAACTTCCATTACTTTCTCGATGAATGAAAAAATAGATAATCAAACTAATAAGTATCGTTATAAAATTTCGAATTATATCCTAAGGCTTAGTTCAAAACATTCCTTCAAGTATTCCACCAGAAACTAATCCGTTTCCAAATTTACACAAAACCCAATATTGGGGTCACCTCGTTCCTGGCGACGATATATGGCGCGCTAAGGGTAAATTAAATAAACTTATCAAGTTTACTTTATTTATTTGGAACTTCTATAAACTTCGATTATTTGACAGAATATATAAACGGACAAATGATCATTAACGTGGAAAAAAATCTTGCTGAGCAAAGTACTCGCCCACTACCTTACTGGTTTACATTACGAAATACAGTACGAGAGGATTCTAATTTCTACGTTTTTCAGAAAATCGTGGAAGCCCCATTTCAAGTAATTTCTCGATTACTTACTCTGGCTTTTATATCTGATAAATGTATTGACCTTATAAATTTCTGCATGTTTCAAAATTCAAGTTTGATATATATTTTAATTCTGCTTCTTCACCCAATGAAATGGATAGTAAGTGGAAATTTTAACAACCTTAATGTTAAATATTAACAGTAGCAACAATAATATCTTCTACGTTATCATTAATATATTTCTGTGTAAATTAGCTGCTAGTTTCACATCAGGGCTTGAATCAAGCATACAAGAATTTGATCAAAGATTCGAAAAAACATTTGGATTGTCAGAAAAAGGATTCACTGAAAAGGAAATCGATTTCGCGAAAATGGCACTAAGTAACTTGATAGGAGGAATTGGGTAATTTATTTTCCTGTAAGCTCTTGAAAAATCATGTCACAGTATTTTTAGTGTTTGCTCATATTCCGATACTGAGAAAATTTACACGCATTTAGTTATTTCTATGGATCAAGTATTGTCGACAGATCCTATACTTCAGAAGTGGATGAAGATGAGATTAATTTTTGGAATCAGCGACCTGTTCCTAATCCACAATTGACACCACCTGCTGTATTATTCACAGCGACGCCATCTCGTTCTTTTTTTCCGCGCGGATTCTACTGGTATGAATCTATTACTTAATGTACCTCTATTTCAATATTAAATTGTTATGTTAATTTTTAATGCTAAAAGGGATGAGGGGTTTCACCAGCTTTTACTTGGTAAATGGGATAATGATCTCAGGTAATGATTTTGTAAGTGAAATTTATGTTTAATTGTTTATAAATAAACTAACACAATTAGTTTTTTTTACACAGTTTGGAAGTTATTAAACATTGGACACTTCTAATAGATAGTGATGGTTGGGTGGGTCGTGAACAAATATTGGGAGAAGAAGCTCGAAGCAAGGTACTCCAATTATACATTGAAAAGTTCTCTTATAAACCTATTCATTTATTTATTCAATCGTAGGTTCCAGCGGAGTTTCAGACGCAATATCCTCATTATGCGAATCCTCCTACTCTTCTAATGTCTATAAGAGCTTTCCTAGACAGATTAGATAAAGTCGATGGCGATGAAGAAAAACTCCTTTATGGTAAAAAGAAGAAATTCATGTTCTCAGTGATATAATAGTCTTTTAATTGTTTACTTGATTTGCTTTTGAATAGATACAGCTATTGGAGATTCTTTTGATAATGATATTACCACAACTACTGACGATCCTAGAATACTACCAAATCGACATTTATTGGATCGTAATCTAGCCAAATCATTTTTGCGACGTATATATCCCAAAATCAAGGCCAATTACAGATGGTTCAAGAGAACGCAGTGGGGTGAGATTAAAGGATGGGGGAGAGAGGCTACAAACAACAAGGAAGCTTATCGTTGGAGAGGTCGAAGCCCTGGTCATACCTTGACATCAGGTATTTTTTGTTATTATATTATAGGGTATAGAACTATCTCTCGATGTAGTGATTTTTTTTAGGGTCATTAATAAAATTTCACTCGATATATAATATTCTCTCGACATAAGCTATATTAAAGATTTTTTTCCCTAACCCGATGTCTTCACTATATCGAGAGTGAATTGTAGTATATTAGTTTTTTTATATCTAGTTAAATTATTTTTTTTTTATAGGTCTCGATGACTATCCTCGTCCGTCACCACCTCATCCCGCTGAGCTTCACACTGATCTCATTTGTTGGGTGGGACTCATGGCTAAAACACTCCAAGAAATTGCCCTCATAATAGAAGAGGAGGATGATGCTGAGGATTACGATGATGATTATGATAATATAGTAGCAAATATACACGGTATAAATATCGTTGACAATAAATAGAAGCATAAAATCGTTATTGATTTTTTTCAACTAAACTTAGATTTGCATTGGAGCGAAGAAGATCAAGCCTTTTGTGATGTATCGATTAATGAAAAAGGTAATCAATTTCTTTACCTTCATGCTTAATTAAAATTCAGACAAAAATTAATACAGTTTTCTTCGAAAATTTAGATGAATCCGTTTTTGTATGTCACAAAGGCTACTTGTCATTATTCCCGATGTTATTAGGGTTAATTCCACACGATTCGCCCAAACTTGGTGCTATATTAGATCTCATTTATGACCCGGAAGAATTGTGGTCGATGTATCCTTAAATGTTTAAAACATTTGGAAAAATTTTTATTGACTTAAAAAATTATATAAGCGTTACTAATTTATGATTGATTATTCCTTAACAAAGTTTCTCCTGCGTATTCTAACTTTTAGATACGGAATACGTTCGCTTTCTAAATCTGATATATTCTTCAATACTGGTGAAAATTATTGGCGTGGTCCCATCTGGATCAATATCAATTATTTGGTTCTGTCGTCGTTATACAAGGTACTCTATCTCTTCTTTCCTTGTGCTCACAAAAATACTTTATTAATAAAATATTTCTTTATTTTATATAGAATTACATGCCTAAACCGGGTCCTTACCAATCAAAAGCTCAAAAGATATACAAGGAATTACGAGACAATATAATAAAAACCGTGTATCAGGTAAGATCATGATGCGCAATTTATTGTGCAAAAAATTGGTAAAGGTCTTGAATTTAATAATATACGCGTTTTATAGGAATACGAAAGAACGGGGTATCCATGGGAACAATATTCCGCGTTTACCGGCAAAGGACAACGAAGGTTTGTTTTACAATCACTTAATTATTTTCGACATATATATTTAATTCGGTTTCTATACTGTATTTTTAGTCATCCATTTACTGGTTGGACGGCATTAGTGACTTTGGTTATGGCAGAGAGTTATTGATGATGATTAAGTTATTATAATTATAATTAGAATTTTGATAGATAAAAAATATTCTGATCATTAATTTTTAATTATATAGACAAGTATTTATAAATCATCCTAGATTTATAGTGGGTGAAATAATAAAATAATACTACAAACTGGAAGATCTAAACATTTAATAAGAATAGTCAAGTAATACTTTCGAAAGGACTTTAATCTAAATTAGCATCTAGTAGATTATATATAGTGAACATGTTGCAAAAAAACCATATTTTAGAAAAGAATAGAAATAATTGGACTTTGATAATAATTCTAAAAATTGTATTTGACATAAAAAATAAGTGAGATAAATTAATTGTTTAAATCATTTAACAAGAATTTTGGTAATGTTTTGCAACAATATATATTAGATTTATAATAAAAAATATGTTAAATTAAAATTTTATTTTTAAATAATTTGAATATAAAGAAGTGTCACAAAAATCCAAGATTAACGCAACGACAGTTCGCAATATCTGGAGCTCTTCTTAATTCTGAAAATAACTGAAAAGCTTGGAAAAAAGATCATTTTTGTCTTGGAAGTCTGGACAAGCAAACATATAGTTCTTACAAGTGGATTGATCAGAAGCTATATTCAAATGTAAAGAATGATGTTTTTCCAGCCCTATATATGGGACTATCCTTTTATAGGATACCGATGAAAACGAGTCAACTGGCATTGTCTAATAATATTTATTTGAGCTCGCCAAGTATTCAGCATGTAATTACAATTAAGTCGTATTTTTGATCATTATACGAATTAATTGATGATATTAATATGAACTTTGCATAATTTCAATCACTTGGATTTAGCATAACTAATCTATAGAATATTAAAATAATGTATAATGATTATAACAATAAATTTCTTTTATACCAACGCAAAAAGTCCATAATTTTTATTACTAATTTCACAAAAAATAGCCTTTTCTATTTTTCGTTTTCCATTATATCACGATATTTTACTTGATCTTGACGCAACAATTTATAGACATTATACTTTGTTTGGTTGAACTTAATTTCTTTTTCATTATTGTTTGGTCGCACTATACTGCCCGGTTTCGACATTTTTACCATAACATCCCAAATTTCAAGATCACTATCGTCATCAGCAGCGGCAACACTAATTTTTTTTATCTTATTATCCGCAGAAACAGCATTATCATCGGTTGAATCTTTTTTGGGTAAAAGAATACCACTCGCTTTTGCACCACAAATAGCTGCCCCGAAAACTACGCTTGCCTCAATATATTTCGGTAGAAGAACTGGACATTGTGTCGCATCAGCTATAGTTTTGACAAACAGTAAATTTTTGCATAACCCACCAGAAAGTAATAATGTGTTTACTTTATGTCCGGCGTTATTTAACGATTCGATAATTTCTCGTGTGCCAAAGCCAATCGATAATATCGTCGAATAATAAACGAGTGCAAGCGAATCAAGAGAAATATCGATCGATAAGCCGGTTATTGTGCCGCGTAAATTAGGCTCCGCTAAAGGGCTTCTGTTCCCGTGGAAATCGGGATAAACGTGCAGATCTTTGATAAGCAGTCCAGGAAACTCTGCTTTTTCACGTGCTTGCATTGTGATTATGTGATTATTGAGAAGATTGTAGATTGATAAGTTACGAGATTCGGCTAATGCTTTCGCTTCACTACTGAATGGGTGTGCGTTGACAATCCAGTCAATGAGTTGTCCGGTAGCAGATTGACCTCCTTCTGACATCCAGTAATTGGGCATAATTACATCTCTATATGGACCCCATATACCATTTACAAATATCGGTTTTGGAGATAAGACTAGATGACATGATGATGTACCAGAAATTACTGCAAGTCTTTTTGACAGGTCTTCAAATTTGGCTGGAATCGAAGAGATTTCATCGTCTTCGTTTTCATCCTTAGCCTTTGATTTTGTTGTTGTTGTAGCTGGTTTTAAGACGGGCAATGGAGCACCCAAGGTGCCTATTGCACCAGCATATGCATCAATCACAGCTGCTCCAACACTAGTGCCTTCGTCTAAACCCAGTTCTTTTGCCGCTTGTTTAGACAGCCCACCAACCAATTGACCAGCTGACCACATTCTACCACTAACACCAGGAATACCGCCTAATCGGGAATACTTGTCTTTAACAAACTCACCCAAACCGATCATCTCAAAAAAATCATCATACCATCCAGAATTACTTTTTTTCTCATTATTATTTGGATCAGATGGCACGAAACCACATTTACATGCCAGTGAACAAACGGATCGTGCAAATGAGCCAGTTGCACGGTATGTTAAAAAATCTGTGTGGTTTTTTTTAAATATTTTATTTTTAAATTTATCCAAAGAAACAATAGAATCGGCTGTCTTTATATTTAATATTACCTGGTAAGTCAAAAAAATGACCAATTTCTTCCCATCGTTCATCGGTCATGTTTTCTTTAAGCCAAAGTATTTTCGGTGTTTCCATTTCCAAGCTAATTTTTCCGCCCACAAAATTCAATACATGATGTTTGGTCGCATTAATCTTTTCAGCTTGCTTGGCTGCTCTGTGGTCTGCCCACAATATGACATTACGTTCATTCTCTTGAAAGTTTTCGTCTGGTGAAACAGACAATGGATTCCCCGTCAAATCTAGTACTACTAAAGAGCACGTCGCGTCAAACCCAATGCCTTTTATCTTTGGTCCAAATACATTAGCTTTTTCGGTTGCTTGTTTTACAGATAGGCAAACACTTTGCCAAATATTGTCGCTTGACTGTTCATAGTAGTCTGTGCGAGAGGTCCACGTTAGAATCTCGTTACTTGACAACCCACATATGACACCTTTTGTGTCTACAACTGCCGCTCTAACTGACGCGGTTCCGACGTCGACACCCACAAAATAGTCTTCATCCATTTTATAACGAATTAGACAATGGCACTCGAGGATGTAAATATGGATCTACGATTGCATATTCTACTTTCGAAAAATTCTCCGATAGGCTGTCTGTTCGAATCTATTATTTATAGTCAGTATAATTTTGAGTTTTAGCAACAGCGATAATAATCCAATCTCGATACAAAACCATGTCTCTTCGTCCGAAAAAAATAAATTTTGATAAGCTTTTTACGGAATTCAAAAGCGATCTCGAGAAAATATATAATTTCTCGGGATTAGATCGTGTTTCTGGCATGAACATGTTCCAGTATGATGATTTCGAAGCTTCTTTTCTATTTAGCGAATGAACATTATCTGTATTTTTGCTTGACCTTTATACTTGTCAAATTCAAGATCAGTATATGACATGTGCACAGCAACTCCAAAGCCATATACCGAAAAACTCTTTTGCGCTATTGCATACTTTTTGGAGGAATATACCATGCGAAAGAAGAGAGTCAGTGAAAACGGAGTTTTTTTTATTGGATTTACCATGTTCTTAATATTATTGACGAATCAGATGATGTGTTTTTTGATTCAATGCAATTTGTTAATTTAGAGTATACTGGATCATGATGATATTGTCAACGCGTATGCCAAAGAATGGAGCCACTATAGTCTAGCTAGCGATTATTCAAGTCGTATCTGTGATTATCTCAATAAAATCATGTTAAAAGTTAAGGATACCGGTGGCATTCCGGCATCAGAGAAACGGAAAACAGTAGGAGATGGAAAATATAGAAGACAGACCGTACAAGCAGTTTGTATTTTTTTTAATAGATGCTCGATACGTTGTGTTAGTTATATCAATTAGCTATTAACAATTATTTTACAGCTAGCTTATTTAATATGGAAAGAACGCGTCGTTGATTCTATCAAAAAGTTTCAAGATCGTCTTATGTATCAAATATTCGAAATGATTAGACGAGATCGGGATGGTGAAGATGTTGTCCCTGATGTTGTGGCCGAGGCAATTCAGTCATTAGGCATAGTAACGAATTTTTTATCTATGTAATTGTTTTTATAAGATATTCAGCATTTTCCTAATTGTATTCGCTTATTATATTTCTATTAGTTGAGCTAAACTCGCTTACGGATCACCCTTTGCGTCTATACATTGAAGAATTTGAGATACCTTATTTGAAACATACTAAACTATATTATGAGCGTGAAGCGGCTGACATAATTTCTAGTGCCACAATATCACAATATATGAAAAAAGTATGTGGGTAGATAAAAAAAGGTATTTTAATTATTCCAATTATGAAAAATAAAATAATCACATTTACATTCCCAAATAGGCATGCCAAAGATTAGAGCAAGAAGCAGCGCGCAATAGCAAATACTGCCACATTTCATCTCATATTACTGTATGTTGCATTCTGAATGGTGTGATGGTCTTTCTTATCTTTTCTTGAATCTTATCTATTGATTGACTTACACGGAATAATATAAATATAGATGATAAAAGAATGCGAAAAACAATATGTAGCTGTACACCAGTCAAGGATTCATACTGAATTTGAGGCTATGATATCCAATGAACGTTACGAAGGTAATTTTTACTGTTCAAATTACACGTGCATGCATATAGCATATATGTAATTAAATTTATATCTGTAATTTTCTGAAATAGATTGTTCTATGGCTTATAATCTCTTATCCCGTATTACGAGTGGTGTCAATCCACTACTTGAAATTTTTGAACAATATATTACTCAAATTGGCAAAGACTTGATATCCAGGATGGGTACTGGAATATTAAAGGTTTTTCCTGAATTCTTTTGCATTTTTGCTCAATAATTTAATATTTACTTTATTGACCATGATAATTAATTCTACACACAGGATCCGCGAGAATATGTTGAATCACTGATGAGTCTCCATTCCAAATACATGACGGTATGTCAAAGAGTATTCTCAAATGATTCAGCATTTATTGCTGCTGTAGATAAAGCATTTCGTACGATTGTAAATGATCCATCGACGAATCCAGCAGCTCATTCTCCTGAAGTGCTTGCTCGTTATTGTGATGTGCTTTTGAAGAAAAATCAAAAGAGCGGCATAAGCGAGCAAGATATCGAGGATAAAATGAATAGCATGGTGAGTCATTATTGATTTATTTTTTCAATTTAGCCTTTATTTTATATTGAATTAATTTCAATTGCATATCTTCAGATCATTCTTTTTAAATATATAGACGACAAGGATGTGTATCAAAAGTTTTATTCGAGGTTACTTGCAAAACGTCTTATCTATGGCAGCTCGGTGTCAAACGATGCAGAAGAAAATATGATATCGAGGCTTAAGGTTTGCCATTCGTTATTCGAACTTTTAATTCGGCCTTTGCATCTAAAATTTATATAACTTATAGACTACTTGCGGTGTCGAGTATACAAGTAAACTTCAACGAATGTTTACAGATATAACAGTAAGCGCAGACATAAACAGTAGTTTTAGCGACTATTTAAAGCAAAAAACTTTAAATCTAGGAGGTCAGCATTAGATGGAATATCATCGTTTATTATTACAGCCAAAAGATATTAAATTTTTTTGGTATTATTTATTTATTCAGTTGACTTCAGCATACTGGTGTTAACAGCTGGTGCGTGGCCGTTGACTCAAGTATCTGCTACTGATTTCCAATTGCCGTCAGAGGTAAAGATCATTGGTTCTTTTTTTACGTAATATTTTTTTATTTTTGTGCTTATTTTTTTTGAGTACTTAGTTGGAAAAAAGTGTCTCCTATTTCGAGTCATTTTATAATGACCATCACAGCGGCAGAAAATTAACGTGGCTATGGCACCTATCAAAAGGTAGCTAGTTTATGATTATAAAATTGGGTATCTCTAATTATTGATACTGATTAAGTAAACATGATTTTTGTTTTAGCTGACGCTAAATTAGGATATCTTGACAAACGTTACGAATTTTCCGTGTCGCTCTACCAACTCGGTGTTCTATTATTATTTAATACTATTGATATGTTGACATTCAAAGAAATTTGTGAACACACACGGTTAAATGAACAGGAACTGAAAAGAGTCTTGAAGGTACAGATAAACTGCTGTAGGTACCAAAATTGTCTCTTGCTTTTATCTTAACATTTTCTCTATGTTACACAATGATTTTGTAGCCGCTGATTGATTTAGCTGCGTTTATAATATCACCGACTGGCTCACTTAACGAGTCAACCGAGATCAAATTAAACATGGAATTCTCAAAGTAAATAAGACTTTTTGTTGTTAATTTTACTTTGTTGAATTTTACTAATGTCTGAAATCTTCTATCTAAATTGGATAAAGTAAACGCACAAAGATCAAAATTAGTTCGTCGCTTCAATCAGATTCTCCACAAGAAACCGATGCAACACGGCGAGCAGTAGATGAGGATCGAAAATTATATCTTCAGGTTAGAGATGATAATTTTTCTTGTTTCTTGATAATCAATTGTAATTTTAATTTATTTAATTTTAGGCATCTATCGTGCGTGTAATGAAATCACGACAAATGTTAACACATAACCAACTTGTACAGGAAATAATCGATCAAGCAAAGTCTCGGTTTACACCAAGTGTTCCAATGATTAAAAAGTGTATTGAACAATTGTTGGATAAACAGTATCTTGAGCGAAGTATTGAGAATAGGGATAAATATGTGTATATAGCTTAGTTAAGTGAAAGTGTTTTTTAATAGATATATAATTATTTTATGTTTGCGTTTTCTAGACTTATAATTTGAGCACGCCACGATCACTGAGAGAGATATGCATACGTATATCGTAAAAAATAATCTTCCATTTTATAATAATGATCATTCAAACACTAATAAAAGATTAATTTCTACGAGTAATTGGTTTGCTTTCTTGGGAAAGCTAACATATTGTATACTGGAAAAAATAAAAGTGAACGACATAATAATTGACCAACAAGCATATGTTATAAACAAAATAAAAAGCTATTTCAAAATAGGTTTTAGTATCGAATAATCGATATGCTCCGGTCTTTATTGTCATGCAGAGTATTAGTCTAGCAAACCAAAATAACATCAATAAAATAGTGCAAGATTTTATTAATAAGCTTTTATCAACCCCCCCCCCAACTGGACTTTATACTTTTGATCAAGCAAATTTATAATAAACCTATAACTTTTTTGATGCAATTTTTACCGTAATAACAAATATTAATTTAAAAAGCTCTTTTCTTAATAAATTTACTTAATAATTTTAAATTAGAAAGTCTCTTGATATATAATTTATTCTACAAGTTTTTTTTTTAAATTATAGTTCTTCAATTTGACTTTTCCAACTAGTTGCATCCCCTCTAATCTCTAATTATACAATTAATGATCATAAGCATAGGTCATGAAATCGAGGTCATATGACCTCGATTTAAAGGTCATTGGCCACATTCCAAGGATTAATCATTATTAAATTTAGAAGCCATAAAGAATTATTCATGTTGTCTATAATTTTGGCCAGAATCATCTTTTTTTATCATTCCCAAGTAAAATTTTATTTAATAACTTTTTTGCGGCTTATGCCATTCCCCGTTCTCTAAGATTGAGAATGTAATAGATATTGAAAATAGTAAAGACGGAGCCGCAATAGATTGCAACAATTCATTTGAAATTTTCTTATACTTCAATTGTGTTGCAACCTTTTGCGGTTCCATCTTTAGAAAGAGACGACGATAGATGATTTTTTTATGATTTGAATGAATAAGTGAATGAATCAAATTAATCAATTAATTAATTTATTAGAACAGAACAGAACAGAACAAAACGCTCAAAATTAATGAAGGTATGAAGTGAGTAATAACATCGGAAAATAGGAAATAAAAAAAGAATGAATAACAAAACTTCTATAGATTATATGATGATGATGATGATGATGATGATGATGCAGTAATTAGGTACAAAAATGAAATGAAATATAATTATGGCAGGAATGAAATCAAAGGGAAGAGGTTCGAGATTCTCAAAAAAACATCCAAAATCGAGGAACTATTTAGTGGCTAAGTAAGTTGCACATGTAATAAGACTATGATAAAAATAAGCTTCGTGCACCAATATTGCTAGTTAAGCTATGCTCCAACAAAAACATTTCAAAATCCTGCCATCCGCCTCCCACTCGAACAGTAACTTTATTTTTGGAATTTGGATTTGGATTTAATCGACAAAGGTAAATCTTTTTGCCGGAAACAGAACTTTCATTGCCAAAACAATATTTGCCTTTGCCGCCTGGCGCACGTTCTATTTTAACCGAAACTGGATGTTTATTTACTATCTTTGCAATTTCAAGATCCAGTAGGTCATTTTTTATGGGAACATATTTCGGATGATTTTTTACTTTCATATTTTTTAATGTATCCATTATGTAGTCATCATTGTCCTGTTCTTCATAATTTTCTGGTGTCATGGGGCGTGAATTATCACTGGCATTCGAAGAAGGAGTTGGGGATCGTGCTTGACTAGTTTTTGATCGATACATACTTGACATCATACCAGGTGATGGCGTACTCGAGGTGGGAAGCATTGAACGCATTCCAATTCGTGAACTAGCTCGACCCGCTATTCCCATACTAGTTACAGGTCTTGGTATTGCAGATGCATGTGCACGATCTCCGGGGGATAGTGGACGCGTGGCTGCTACTGAAGGTGATCTTGTTGGTGAACCTGAACGACTTGTAGGTTTCGTTCGACCATAATATTTTTCATAGCCTGGCTGTGGTGATACTGACCGATAATGTGAATTGTTATATCCATGGTTAAGATAAGTTGGACTATATGGCGAAGAATTGTGTGTTTGTTGAAAATGACTATTATAATTCCATGGAGGTCTATGTTCTTGAAATGAAGGCGTGGGAGGAGGACTTTCTGATCGACGACTATTCGTTGATAAATAGCCTTGTCGACTACCATATGGACTTAATGCTCGTGGTGAGGGTGATTTTGATCGCAATGAAGGAGATTTAGCAGGATTATTATTTCGTGGAGGTGATAGAGCACGTTCTGCATGATATGGGGATACTGATCGATTTGGTTTCGGAGGTGATCCAACTTCAGGAGAAAATACTCCCCTTACTGGTCGCATATGAGGCGAAATTGGTGGCGATGAAGCAATAGAAGATGGTTTTGAAGAAGGCGGAGAGTTACTAGTAATAAGTGCTGCTTCCATTAAAGCCTCTAATTTTGGCATATCTTGTTGAACTTCAGCTATGCCTTCTAAGATATTATCCCATCTTTCTTTCATTGATTTATATTTGTTGATAACTTCCCAATCTTTGGTCATTTCATTATTGATACCATTCCCGAGCATTGTCAGCATTTTTGTAACTGCTGGGAGATAATATTTCCTTTTTGCGTCGAAATTTTTGTAAAGTCTTTGGAAATTTTTGCCAGTAATTTGTACAGGAGGTTGTATTATCGGTTGTTGCTGTTGCTGTTGCTGTGATTTCTGCGGACTGAAGCGTGGTAATGGTATTGCCATTCCACGTGCCTGTAATTGTTTTAGTGGCAATGGTGATTCAGAGCGACTAGTGGCACGTGAAACGAAATCTCTGCATTGTCGAACAGCTCTCTCAAGTGAATCCATCATTTGATTTGCTTGCGTGGAAACTTGTTTGAATACGGTCAGCCATCGATCTTCTTTGAGTTCTTCTCGTAGAGATTTCATTTCATGATTCAATGCGTCCCATTTATTGGTCAGAATTTTATTTTTCTTTGCCAATGCTCCTGTTGGATCAGAAGGAGCATTCGGAGCAGATAGACGAGATTTTAGATACTCTATTCGAGCTGAAAGTGGATCTAGACGAGAATCTAATTGCATTAATGCAATATCAGCACGTGAACTTAGTTCACTGTTATTAGTTGCAGCAGACATTGGTGCAGCCGGAGTCATTGGTCTACTTCGACCACCATTCTCTTGTTCATTATAAACATTATCTCCCCCGATCATACCACTATGCCTATGTTCTTGATACTCGAAGATATTTGTGTTTAATTCCTCAATCGAAATTAATATCTGATCCATAGTATCCAAAAGTTCTCGCCTTTGTTTCGATTCTGACATTTCTTTCTTCACTTTTTGAAAGAAAGCTTTGGCCTCAACCCAATCCCCGTGTATTCTCTCGATATTTTCAGTGATCGTTTTTTTGGTGTTTTCGTCGTCTTCATCCGACTCCTTTAGTTGGCTGATGATTTTTTGAGACAATTCTCGAAGCAGGTCGACATTTGGCGCGAACTTATGAATCAGAACGTCCATTTCACCGACATTCTTTATGCTCATACCTTCTCGTACGTCAAGTTCAAGAGCGAATATGGCGATGTTTGCGTACTCTAGCCATAAGTCAATATCTTTTGATGCAGCGTTAAAAGTATCTACAAGGTTACTAACGGGAAGCTCGCTATTCAGTGCTTGGTAAATGCTAGTGTTTGGTACGGCTAATTCGTAGAGAGTCTGGACGTGGTGTGCAAAAGTTTGGTTGTCGGTTGGTCCAAACCGCTCAGCGGAAGGTAAAAAGTTTTGTTTATTGTTGTTGTTATTGTTGTTGTTTACCACGGGTTCAGGCATTTGGGACATTGAATATTACGCTCCTTGCCCAAGAACTTTTTTTTATTCGTGGATTTTATTATTATCTCGCTTTTTTATGGTTGTACGAGGATGCAACACAAAAAAACACTTGTACCTATCAAAAATCCGAATTTGAGTAATTAGACACGCTCGTTCGTCTAATTAAATCAAGGGAAAGTAACTAGGTAATGATGAATGCTGCTTTCTGGTCGGTTTGTTTTGATAAATTGGATGGATCTTATGATATTTAGGAAAGCTACTATTATTTTTTTTAGTATCGTGATGGTGATGACATTATAACGGGGAAAATTGTAACAAGGATTATTAATTATCGTTATATGTACAAAGGAAAACCGAAAGAACGGGTAATGTGCTAAAAAAAGAGACCCTTTATATAAGTATACTATTGACGCCACAAAGAAATTTCGGGGTTCAAAACCAGTTGAAATTGTTAAACGCCACAATATAATAGCGTAAACAACTGATTGGTCGTATCTTAGATCATCTGACTGTTTGTATATAAAATGATTTCCCTCTCAAGATTGACTTCTGATCTTAAGAAGTGGAAAAAAAACTACGCCGTTAGATCCAAGTAAGAAGATTACGATATTGATGATGACGTTATTGAAACTATTGAGAACCAGAGGTTTCCTGACAAAGCTCTCATCCAGTTGACAGAAAAGAAGTTTATAATTTATTCTATGGGATTATCTGCAGGACAAAGGTTAACAATTGTAGAATTAATTGAGAGGTTGATGCAACCGGTGAGTTCGCTTGTATTCTTTCAATATAATATTTTTCATCCATCCATCTTACTTAGAGACAGTTATTTCACTGCATAACTTCATGTAGAAGGGAAAAAGAATTTCGTTTTATATTGAAAAAAACTTGATAACAATTTTTTCATGTTATTGGGGGGGGGGGTTTGTAGCACTTAAACTTTATTTCTAAATAGCAATGCTTGTAAAAAGGAAGAGCAGACGAATATGTATATGGAATTATATCACGATGGTTAGGGGGATGGACAGAATCAATTTCTATAAAGGCAACCTTCCCTCTAACTAATCAAATACGACCATTAATCACGTGTTATTGTAACCTAAAACTCCCCAGAGATCAGCTGATTTTCGTCCTTCCCCTTAGGACTGTGACATATATTACGTAATATAGGTTTATTATAGAACTCACCCTCCTCCAGGTAAGTTATTTTCTTCCCCAGGATATTACGTAATATATGTCATGGCAGCAAGAAGGAAGGAACTGATGTTGCTTAATCTTTAGGTAATGAGACTCAGCTCAGGGATATGATAGTAGGTATTCGCGCAGAAAAGGCAGCGGTTGACGAGATATTTACTTTTTCCCAAAAATCTACTTTATTGGATATCCTCCTACTTTTGTTTATAACATAACTTGATTCTCAGTAAATTGACTACTGCGTTCATTATGTGATTTGAGAAAAAAAGGAAAATAATAAAATATTCATTACTTGCATCTGATCTGCATCCTTTACTGCTTTTAGGACAAGAATGTAAGGACAGTAACATTTATTAGCTAATATTTTAGGGGTGGGTAGAGTTTGATCTTAAGTAGCACAAAATTAAGCATTCTGATTGGCTATAAGAGCTTACCTGAGGAGGCACCTCTATCAAAATAATATTCAATTTCTAAAATTAAAGTAGGCCAAGCCGCGTGATTTTTTTTTGAATGATTACCCCTATTGCTATAAAAATAAACATTTAGGGAAAAACTGTGGCATTGACGACCCTGAAAATTCTAAATGGCACAATATCAGCATGCCCCATATATTAGTTGTGCATTGTGATATGGGCACATTTATATATGCATTATTTACCGTAAAAACTTTATCATCGGCGGATTTCTTTTTTTGCGAGAAATGAAAAGATGAATCGACGATGAATTGATGGATAAATAAGCTACCACACACTACTAATCAAGTCAAGTGTAACGCCTCTGTCTAATGATTGATTGATTGATTTATTTATTTATTTATTTTGTATGTATATAAATGTTGTGTGTGTAGATGGCATTTACCCTAAAAAAAACTTTTGCAGGGTAGTTATAGTAAACACAATATAACAGAAAAAAGTTACTTTTCTTACTTTTTTATCCAAAACCTGTTATACATGCATTTTAAAAGTACGATGTTTTAGCTTATCTTTATTATAATTCCTTCGGTGGAGTTTTTGATATTGGTTATTGATTCATTTCTATAAAACTATGAACAAGAATGTGAAATCCCGTGTAATATGACGAAAACAAATCTGGATGATATCATGCATATATGCATGCATTTGTCTAACTAAATGGTTAGACGTTATATCGTCGATCCATTTTTTAATATATGCACAAAATAATAATCCGAGAGATTTTGAAGATTATGCAAAGTTGTGTCACCTAGTTTTGTGTCATGTGCAAATACATTGTTCTTTACGCATGGCACATGAATAAGAATATTGAATAATGTTGATCCATCTTAAATATAGTTACAGTGTCCATTCCATTTTAACCGCTATAAAATAATAGAGAATAATTATCTAAGCGTCTAAATCCAGTTGTTCCAATATAGCATCAATTTGCGCCAATTTTCGGTTATACTCTGCCTCCCTATGTTTTTTGGCAAGCCAATAACGTAAATCATCAATAAGAGGAATTGTATCGGTTGCTTGTCGATTTTGAATAGACTGTGCCGATTCTTTAACCAAATTCAAAAATCGTTCGTCATGCAAAACGTCTTTAAGATGTTCGGCGAACCAACGGCAACAGTATTGTTCCAGCCGATCAATTTTCAAATCGATTGCTTTGCGCATCAGCTCATAAATATCGTCGATTGGCCCTTTTTGGTTTGTGAGCACAATTGCCGCCAAAGTTTTCAATCTGTCAAATAGGAACATATCCGCAGTCACGAGAAGCTCATACGCAACATTCGGCAGAATTTTCTCGCATTTATCAGTGTAAATAAATTCTAGTATTAATTCTAGAACTTCACAAGTGCATTTGGATAATGTAATGGTTGGCAAATCGTATTCTTTAGTTTTGGATAATCCTTCTGCGAAAGGACCATTGAGTAAAATATTAAAGTATTCTGAACGAGTACTCAACATTACTCTGTGGCACGGGTATAAAGTGTTCTCAACTCTTAGATACATGTCGGGATAAGGCTTTTGATGCTCGGATGAATTATTGTCAGAAAATCTATCTGAATCAGATGAGAGAATTCACTTACTACCCAATATAGCATCACGAAAAAATACACCAATCTCTAGTTGCAATTCTTTATCAAGTTGACTAGTAGAAAGCTTGGAAACTGCACTTTTATTTGTATACTTTTTACGCAAATTTTTAAGTCCAAAAAGCTGGCATAAATCAACCATTTTTATGAACAAACGCTCTGGAATCTGTACTACCTTGCTTGTATATATGTATCGAAGGACAGCTTGAAAACATGTTGGATCAACTGCTTGTGAAATCTCAAATGAGACTCGGTGATGTTGATCATTTGATGAAAATTGGTGATGCTGATTATTATTACGTGTATTTAGTCTTTCAGAAAAATAAGGACATCTCGCACAAAGAATAAATCTATGCGCATAAAGTTCTACAATATTTCCCGAATATAATCTTTCATAATTAATATTATTGGTTGCCATGATTGGGAATGAGCTCGATCTCACTTTCAGGGTAATATCGCTGAAATGTTCCAATGGATTATCGTATAAACGTGCCAGTACGTTGCGATAAGATTGACTTTCATCCACTGCTTTAGTGAATTTGTAAGTCAACAATAATCCCCGAATTTTAGCTGTGAGAGCCCCGTATAGACATCTTTATATATTAATGATTACTATTTCAGCGAAATTCATAATTGCTTGATATTTCATAACAGGTCTTTTTACCTTTCACCTTCAAAAGTTTCACTCTCACATTTTGCTCCGTTTTCGAGCAAAAAAGAAACAACTGTAATAGAGAATTACGATTGCATCAACATTCAATTTTTGTCTTTTCTATAAAAAAAAAGATCATAATCAAACCTGTATAATGACCACTGTTAGTATAAAAAATCGATTTGTTAATTTCTCTATCTAATTCGAATATCCAAAAATTATATTGAACATACTTGCCATAAACATGCGCAGTAAAGAGGCGAACGTTGCCATTCATCAGAAGCGTTGATGGGCACCGAAAAATTTCGAACTAAGCTTATATTTAAATTTATCAATAGATTAGAAGCAATGTCATATAATATTCTGTGTTTGATATATAAAAGTTTGGCACCTTTGAACTTTTTCGAGATCTCCCGACCGGCAGGCTTCTAAGAGTTCTTTAAAACGCTCTTTAGTTTTTGTATCATCTTCAAATTGAGAAACGACACTGGAAGAAACCATTCCTTAAGGTATAGTAAAATGTCGCAGCAAATAAAGCTTTCAGCTTGTGGATGTTCGATAAAGCGAAGAATTTTATAACAATAACCCGAGGCCTTCGGTTTGTCGAACTACTGTAGATATCAGAGTCATGTGACTTTTAATTATGAAGTTGACGCGCGTTAATTTCGTCGAAGCAATTAATTCATCAACTTGTTCGTAGTAATATTACTTTTAAAATGGTAAGCTTTTTGAACTCATTTTTGTCTTTACATTATATTATGTGCTCGTTCAGAATACTGACATTCTTGACGCGTTCAGCCACCAAAAGGTCTTTCTGCTGCTGAAAAACGCAGACGTCTCGAAGAATTATTTCATGAGACGGTAACTATAGCCAGAATACGATCTTATAAACTTAAGAAGTGTAGGGTCAATAACAAAAGGAAGACACGACTGACACGTCTTGTTCCCCTATTTCATTACGCGTGAAATTCAATATATCCATATATTTATTAGAAAGAATTCTATCAACTCAAAGAGTTGGAAAAAATAGCTCCCAAGCAAAAAGGAATTGGTATGTTCACTTCGATAATTGTCGATTTCTTTGCAATTTTGACTGATAATATTGTGCAACTTTAGTAATGCAGTCCGTGAAAGATGTTCTTCAAAGCCTAATCGATGATAACCTCGTTGCGACAGATAGAATTGGAACTTCTAATTACTTTTGGTCTTTTCCTAGTAGTGCTCTTCAATCGGTATGATTTGACTTGATTGACTGCGCCATACATATAATCATAATATATCATACTATTATTATTAGCGTAAAGCCAAAATTGACGAATTAACACACGAACTTGAAAAATTAAAAGAAAAAAAGTCTGAAATACAGTTAAATATTGAAAAAGCTAAAGGAGGACGCGAAGAATCGGTTTGTTTATCGAGAACGTTGATTTCTACATAAATCTATTTAAGTTTAATGAGAATTTCGAATAGGATGATCGAGAAGAACTGCTGAAAAAATTAGCTGAAGCAAAAACACTAAAAAAACAAAATACTGATGAATTGCAACGATATCGTGAATGTGATCCTACTTTGCTGGAGGCTAAAGGTATTTAATTTTGTTAGATATCGTTCGGTAATTTGACGTATTTCTTAATTTCATTTGAAATAGAAAAAGCTGCTAAGTGTGCACTTGAATCTGCTAATCGGTGGACTGGTAAGAATAATAAATATAATGAGCAAAGAGCGAAGATTATACTAATGATTTATATATCATTATACTTTAGACAATATATTTCAACTTCAAACCTACATATGCGATAAATTTTTCATGCCCCGTGAAGACTTTTATTCACGTTTCGGCATTCCTGAAGATTTGGACACCATTGAGAATTGAACTTTTCTAAAATATTGAAGACAGTACAAAAAGGAAATAACAATATGTAAGATATGGGGGGCGGATTCTGTATTATAAATATTGATTGTTTGATATATTTAATGTCTATTTTGTTGTTTTTACAATTTAAATAATATCAACATCTTATTACGTTTTATAGATATGTATGTATGCTTAGTGTTCATACATTAATTATAATATTTATAATTAATGTTCCTCGAATTCTTCTTCAATTAATATATTTTCATCGTCTCTAGGCAAATTCCTATAATTTCTTGGGGCTCGTCTTCCGAATGAAGGACACTGCGCCATTAAGATCAAAAACATATCCTATTCAAAAAAAATAATCGTTAATATTGTGAAAATGGTTATAGCTTGCTCAAGTCGATAAGGTGATTATTTCTGAAATTACAAAACCTTGACGAAGTCCCAGGCATCTCTCCAAAATTCCCAGTTAGGTAATTGACTGAAACCAACAGCATTATGCACCATTCGATTATAGACAATTCCACCCACGAAATAAACCAGCAACGCAATAAAGAAGCTAAAGTTATTGATAAATTTGATGATTGATTAGAATATGCACGTTTTGAATTAAAAAAATCAAACATCAAGAACTTTACGTACATTGTAAAGAAAACACCCCAACCACTCAAACTCTCGGCTTTGTCTACTGGGCACGCAGCGGATGTTTTCCATTCAAATATGTAAACACAGTTTCTTGGACTTATGAGCAATTTTGGAGTTCCTTTGCCCTCAATTGTATTATCGCATATGAAATGAATATAAGTTTCTCTTTTAACCTCATCTGATTGATCTGGGCATGCATCGCCGTCACCGTAACGTAAAAAAAGTTCGTCATCTGTGAACCAAAATAATTAGATGAATTAATTACTTTCTCGCAAAATTATCAGTTTATACACATACTTTGGATAAAGAGCTCCGAATTATTTTTCCTACAAGTTTATTTTTAGTATTAGATGAAAAAAGAAATTAATCGATGCATCATTTTCGTAAAGAATTAATTGTTGAAATTGATTGAATACCCTAAAGATATCCATTTTTCTTTGTCGTTTTTTAAAGAGGCGCCAACATTTTTAGCATCTTTCAAATCATCTTTTAGTTCCGATAGACCATTACAAACGTTCAAAATAAATTTATTTTTTGAATCTGTCGTTTCATAATATTCACTAAAAAGGAAAGTACAAAAGAAAAATTATAGTTAATATAAATATATAGAATATTAATAAGGCTGCTTAAAAAACACTTACGCAGAGTCCTGCTTTAATTTTGAAAGATCATAACTTAGTGTATCATTTTTAAAGGTACAGTCTGGAGTTTCTGCTGCATTTGCTTTCAAAATAAATACTGAAATTAGCAAGCACGTAGATAAAATTATAGTGTTCTTGAGCGAAACTAACAAATGCTTCATAATTCTAGTTGGGTATAAAAGAACGGGCGGAGATTTCTTATATTTTGAGCGTCATATAGAGATGTTAATCGGTCTTTTAGGATCGGGTCCCATCCGATCCTTTCAAGGACAGTTCAAATTCGATCCTTAAA